ACGGGCACATTTCCATCTGTGGGTGTCAGAGGCTTAATACACAATTTCATAAGAAGGCCTCAGCCAGTTCTCCCGTTACCTGAACCAAATGTATTTTAAAATAAATGACACAATACATTGTATGTTGTGTTCAAACACTCGCATATAATGATCTGAATAATTGTTTAAGAAAATTGTTTTGAGTCGGCTAACTGCTTTACAAAAAGCAGCAGTTTTAAGAAAAATCGCTGTAAAGTTCTACAGCAATAGAATCCATACTATCTTTTTTATAGGCTTTCTTAAATAGCGAATGTCCCAAAGTTGTAAATTAATCCATTCAAAAGTCAGATTTGTATTCAACAATGTTTGTTAGGCTAGTTATTAAACAAAATCAGAAAAGTTTCCCATAAATCATGCCCCTGCTCCACAGTGAAAACTGGTCAATAGGACTCTAAAGTTTACTTTCAGAAGCAAGGCTGGTGAGAAGAAAATGAACAGATACTTGCATCAAGTCTAAATGCTCAACTGAGAAGCCTTCCGCAGTCGCCACTATCTTGGACACCCACAGTCAACACTGAGTTTTAGGCACTTCTACAGCTTCCAAATGCACCTGGTATTTAATGTTACATGTTGAAGCAATTTGCCTATGCCAGCTCCTTATAATTAAAATATACTAACGTTAGAAAGGAAAAGAGGCATGCTTTGCAGTAGCCATAGCTGTTAACAATGACAGAAAGAAAGGACTCCCGTCTTGTCAAATAGCTTCCTTTCACGCACCTGAATCTCAGCTGAGCTGGAAGGCTGCCTCTTTTCTGGAGGCTTATCTGGGCTTGACCATTACAATGAACCTCAGTTACTGGGAGTTCTGAGTCATTAACATTCTGCACACACTCAAACTTCCAGTCCCCCAAGAAAGAGTTATGCTCTGGCCTCCTACAGCTCAATTGTTCATTTAAAGGGAGAACTTGAATTCCGGAGTTTAAAAGAACCCTCCAAATATTCCTCAGGTGTCTGTAGCAGTCATTCCTCCAGGTCCGGGTCCCTATGCTGGTGGGAGCATCCTTTCCCAGTCACTCCTTGGACATTGTATCATTGGTGGTGCTGTGGGGACAAGCTGCCTACTAAAAATAACCTCGCAATAAGGCCAAGGCAAACAGCATGCATTTCCTCAGACTTTGTGCCCAATCAAAGTCATACAGCAAACCATCTTCATCTGTCCCCGATGCTCCCCAATGCATCTATGGAAGGAAAGCCCCACACTCACGTTGGGAGAAGAATGCAAAGGAGCAAGATTCCTACAAAGCGTGACACCGAAAGCTAGAAATAAATGTTGCCTATTGTTTGGAGTCATTCTGAGCACTCCGGCACAGCTCTGGCAAGAGCTCAGCAGCATACATAAGTAGTAATAAAAGTAAACAGTGCGCGTTTAACCTCACAGGCTCGCCTGAGTTAATAGTGCCCCCATTGTAAGTGGGATGAGGGCGGGGAGGAAGATACTGGGCTCCACAGATCCATGCCGGGAAGTTGCTGCTTCTCTGTCCCCTTTCACAGGGTCAAATATAAGAACCATTACAAAGTTATATCTAACTACGCAGAGAGTTTGAAAAGAATTCTAAGTCAAACCAAAAGATATTTCCGAGCTTCTCGGGAAGGCTCCCGGCTCTGTCACAGACTTCAAAGACCCGTTCATTTAAAAAACACAAGGCTAGCTTGCTACAAATTAATGCAAATTAAAGTAATGCAAATGTAAGTGGTATTTAAAGGTTGTCTCTTTGTCTGAGAGAAGGATGAAAGGCTCGGTTTGGAAAAAAGTATTGTCCTAGGCAAGCCGTCAGCGCTTGTTTTCCTGCTTACCTTGGGGGAAACGTAGGGCTCGTTTCTTCTCAGACTTTTCTGAGAGCTAGAAAGAGGTCCTGTTACTTCCAAATGCTTTTGTTCTTCTGTCCCTCTGTCACATGGCTTGCCTTTTATATTTGCAACACACAAAAGTTAGGACTGTTGTTTAAGCGACACGGGGAGAGAGAGAGGGAGAGGGAGAGAGAGGGAGAGAGAGGGAGAGAGTGTGTGTGTGTGTCAAATGGAAAAGTGCCATTGCAGGCATATATCAATCAGGCGTGCGGCCGCAGCAGCGCGCTAGCAAATGGAAATGCCACGGAAATGTGAGGCGCTCGTTATCGGGTACTCCCTGCCGCTGCCCACCACCCGGTTGCCTTCCACGGAGCATCTCAGGATGGAAACAACGTAGAACGAGGACAAGGACGTTTTCTTTACTTGTCTTTTTCTTTTCTTTTTTCTTTCCTTTTTTTTTTTGTACTCTGAAAATAATCCACTGAATGAATATTCTAAACTTAATTCTTTTGCAAGCATGCGGCTGTCATAAAGATGTGCAGTCCGCAATAGAAACACATAGCTTCGGAAATACAAAGACAGGCTGGCATTCTGTTTAACGATTCAGCAGCTGACAAGGATGAAGTTGAAATGCTAAGAGAGGGGAAAGATGGACATGAGAAATCTTACCCAAACGATGCTGTTCTAGCAAGTGCAAAACGCTGCCCTATTTTATCATAATGTGTGTGGGTGGTGAGAGTTCTTTTCTGAGTTATTCATCCATTAAATGATTTTTACCAAGCATACAGATGATTAAATTTACAATGGCACTTTAATAAGCGCCTTCATCGACATCATTTAGAATAAAACTTTGGATCAGATTTAGAAACAATGAGAAATGTGTGGTCCATGACTTCTTGAGACAAGCGAGGGTGTGACAACTAGGTAAGGCCAACCTACCATATCACTATTAGTAGAAAAGTGACAGAGGTAACTGTGTGTGTGGGTTAAGTGCCTGCAGCTGAATAATGCTGTGCTATGAGCTGTGGGAACACAAAGAGAAATATTTCATAAATCTTACTTAACAGGCTTAAAATTAAGACAGAAAACCATCAGCAAGTTTTGTGGAAAATACAAAGAACCATTTATAATTTTTTCAAATGTCAGATTCAGCCCCAGAATAATTTGTTTTATTAATACTGATAAAGAATTCAACCAAGAATTTTTTAAACCTATGATATTTTACAGAAGAATAAATACATTACAAAACTTAAGGTATTTCTCTCAGAAGCACCAGATAACTGCTGATGTCAGAACCATCCTGTTCTCTTGTATTAGACCATTTATTACTCATTAATATACAGATAATCGTAGTATTATTTTTCCGTAGAACCTTTAAACAGACACTGATGCTTATAAGATGTGAGATTATTTTTTGTTTTGTTTTGCTTGTTCATTTGGGTTTTTTTGCAGTACTGGGGATTGAACCCAGGGCCTTCACACTGGACCTGAATTTGTGATCCTCCTGCCTGAGACTTCCGGAATATTGGGATTACAGGCGTATGTCACCACATTCAGCTACAAGAGATGTTTTAAAATGTTCAGTTCTTCTTCCATCTTTTTTTAAAATTTTAATTTAGTTTTATTATTATTACTTTTTTTTTGGTACTAGGGATTGAACTCGGGACCTTGCGCTTGTGAGGCA